GGCTTCTGGACGGCCACTCACTGCGGCTGCTGGCTGCTCACACTGTCTGCTGACTACGGTAGCCCATGGCAACCCACTGCCACAGGGGCTGCAGCCTACACCGTCGCCGGCGACTCGCGGCAGCCCAGCTCCAGGTCGAGCCCGTTGTTCAGCATCTTAGCTGTAGAGGGCAGTGTTACTGGCCCTCACATGTGGGATCCGAACCGGGGCCCTCTGGCATCCCAAGCCAGTTCTTAACCATCACGCCACTCGGCCGGCCCAATATATAAATATTTTAATGTATTTAATGAACACTGGTATGAGGTATAAAATGGCTTACAAAAAAAGGACATGGTAACTTTCTTCAGGAAGGAATCTTGTTACTACTTAACAAATGTTACTGGGTCTAAAAAATAAATTTGTAACATCCATGTCTTTCTTTGGGAGGTTATTACCTTTGCCTTGTTTGTATTTTTTTAAAGGATTTTATGAGTTTAATTGCTTACTCATTCTCAATTAAGGAGAAATCTATCTGCCCAAATATTTGTAAACAATAATGCATGACTTGCCCTTGGCCACAAACTCTAATTGGATCCTTCTCTTACCTGTAGATGCACAACATACTAATAGAGAATAGCTATTAGAACAATTCCTAGGCTTTCATCTAGAGTAACTCTACTTGTCTAAGGAAGGATTGCTTTCTATTCTCAACTCCTTTGCTTTCAGAATAGATGGAGAACATGAAAAACTATAATCTCAAGTAGATATAGCTACTAGGTCTCTTCTTGTCTTATTGATACATTCAGTACTTTATGTATAGTACTATATTTACTAAATATTCCCTACAGGAAATACTGACAACTCCATGGGATGCTATTCGTTTTTTTAATCCTGCAGTTACTTTGTGGTGGTATCAAAGGGATGCTGCTGTAGGATATTTTAAAATTCTGGGGAAACAAGAACAATATTTGCTATGTGGTGTACACTACATAAACTACTAGCTCACAGTAGTTTAAAGTTTTAACATTAGATAGCACTATAATCGTTTCAGTGCTGTTGTATCTTTGCAAACCTGGATTTATTACAGTTTCTGTAATAAAAGCAGGAAACGAGGGTGGTTGGGTCCAATTTCATCTCAAGATTTGAGGAGGTATATAGTTAGTGCCCTAGCAGCAGCATATATCTCATTAGTAAGTAACTGTGGTTATTTATGAACAAAGTAAAATATTTTCTTCTAAAAAGAAAAACCAAAAAGAAATGCCTAATATTTTCATTTGTTAAGTTGTTAGATCAAAACAATAAGTATTTGTATCCTAATAACTTAGTAGCTATTTGAGAAAATACTTCTTATATTTATATGCATTCCACATAATGATAAAAGAAAACCCAGACCAATGAAACACTACGGGCACTGTGAACAGAGAAAACTTGTAAACCTTGTCCTAGAAGAGTCCACTAATCCAAACAAACAGCTGTCCACACAATTTTCTTCATCACATATTTATTAAATATTTACATGTACATAGTATACCTGAGCAAATAACTCACCTATTTGAACCAGGCATGAAAAGCTCCATATTTCACCGAAAGATTTAAAAAGCACTGAATTAAACACTGCTTTTTAAAGATTAAAAAGTCATTCCAGAATTAACCAACAAATCTACAAATAAATTTCAAAAAATAAAATTCTCAATAATTCTGTACAATACCTGAGTGTGAGCTCTCGATGGTAGTATCTGATTTGGAATCCAGAAATGAAGGAGTTTGACTTAATTGTGGAACATAGTACATCTTTGTACTACCAGAAGGCTTATATGGCAACAGGGAAGGCTGGGCTAAGGAAATAAAGATCAGAACAATTAATAAGAAAACATTTATAATTCAATAAACAAATACTGAGTGCCTTCAAAATGCCAGGCAGTGTTCAAGTTCTTGGGATATCTCTCCCTTAAGAAGAGGGAGACATGTAGGAAACAATTAACATACTAAATAAGTAAATTACCTAGTATTCTAATAAATTATAAGTGATATGAAGAAAACAATCAGAAAATGCTGAGGCAGATTAGAAATACTAGGGAAATTGGGGCAGGATGAAGTTTAAATGGAGTGGTAGAGGTTGGTTTCATTGAGAAGATGAGTTTTAGAATCTATTCCATATATATGAGTACATGGCTCTAACTAAAAAATACTTTATCTTACATTAAACCCAAACCTAGTCATTGTTAACCCCTACAACTGGTTTTATGGTCTTATTCTGCCCCCAGAGTGATAGAAAATAAGTTCAATTCTCTTCTATGTGACAGGTCTTCAAAATAAAGCTTCCATTATAAAAATATAAATTCTAATATTAAGAAAATACATAAAAATAAAAAAACAAAGTCCTACCACTCAGATAGCTATCATAACTATTACAGATACTGCCCACCTGTACGCTATATTTTCCAATCTACCCTGCAGCCATGTATGGACATGTGACTAAGCTTGGGCCCACAGGAGAGACCAGTGTGAAACTAATGTGTGCAACTTCCAGGCATCTTATTAAAACAATCCATGTCCTAGGGACTAGAGATTATGGTAGCTACAGCAGCCATTTTAGAACCAAAGAAGGAAGTAACACTGTAAGGATGCCAGAGCCATCAGACATGGCAGAGAGATACCTACTCTAAACCACTTACCTTTAATTTTGGAGTTTCTGCGATAAAATCACTTAATCTGTATCCCAATACATACTTAGTAAGTAATCAGTCAATTAATTATAAATCCACTGGAGCTGCCACTTACTACTTTTGTGACCTTGAAGACATTACTCTTCTTTTTGCCTCAGTTTCCTGCCCTACAAAACGAGCATGATAATACCTACTTCTTAGGCTTACTGTGAAAATTTAAACAAATTAAAAAGATTTAAAGTGCATCAAACACTAATTTTGATATGTTTGAAAGTGTCAAGTTCTTCAAATCTCCTTCTCCCTGAGTAAGTAACCAACTTATTCGAATAGCACGTATTATATAATCCCTATTTTTCTCCACTGCAATACCTCCTTCATCACACATTAAAATCAAAGAAAACAATTCATTTTTGTGCTTTCTGTTCTATTCCATCAACATGCTTATAGATGTTTAGGTTAGTACCACACTTTAAATTTGGCTGCTGCTAAAATTCACCCTCTCCATTACTTTTTTTCCCCAGGTTTTCTTTGTTATTATTCCTGATAAACTTTAAGATCCATTAAACAAGTTCAAGAAAAAAATTCCATTAGAATTTTGAGCATAATTATGTTAGAGTGTAAATTTATTTGGGAATAAATGATATCTTTACAATATCCAGCTTTCTCCAACATTCAGAAACATCCCATCCCTTCTCTTAATTTAATCAACCATTCTCTTCTATCTCTATACAAAGGAGTTCTTCACATACATCCTATAAAATTCTTGTTTCGGTTATTCCTGAGTATTTTTGGGGGTTGTACTGCTCCTATGAACAGAGTTTTGTAGACAGCTATCATTTCTTCTGAACACCTGCAGCACCTTCAGTTTTTCCTTACAGCCCATGGTTCCCTCTCTCATCCTATCACACCCTAGATGAACTCCTAGTTGCCCATATATAGTTTATAAAAACCAAAACACTCTAGACAGAGTAGAACAAGGCCACCTTCATTCTGGACACAATAATAACCTTTGCATTACTTAGAACTGTGTTACCATCTTTGACTGCTCCATCATTCTGATGGCTTATTTTGACACTGAATTCCATATTATTAGGACCCTGCTTTCAAGCCACAGTGAAGGAAATGAGACAAAGTCTGATGCCTAAAGAGATTCAGAAGCCTCATCACCCACAACTGTGCTAAACTTAAAAAAAAAGGGGAGTGGGGGAGTGAGTGACTTACTGATAATGGGGGAGTGAGTGACTTACTGATAACTGTGCCATAACTGTTATGGCACAAGGAGGTAGGCATCACTTTCTAAGGCTGCAATGCAGGCTTACAGAATATGGCATATGCTCAGAACCACATGTGATACTTGCTTATCCCACAGAAAGAATGTATACATTTAGGAACAAAGGCAGAAGCCTTTTTGAGAAACTTTTGCTTTCCATGTGTGTGACTCTTAGCTTTGTTAAACGGAAGATCTTAGAAATAAGAGAGGGATTCTTCCACCAGGAGACAGGAGCCACTTAGTCATTTTACATTCTTTATGTCACTGAAACAACACATGGAATAGGATGCCGGTGCTGACTATCATCACGCCTGACCTTAACTATCAGGGAGAAAGAAATAAGGATGCCTTAAAAAAAGGAAGTCATTAGGAGTATGGCTAATATTTGGGTGGTACTTTACCATGCTTGGTGACACAAATTAACAAAAAATTACTTTAAACCTATATGTAAAGGGCTAATAAAGTCTCAGACTATTTAGGAATACTTGTATCACTCCATCAAGCAAAAACAAGCAAACAACACAAATACCCCCCCCCCAAACTAGCCATTGAGAATCTGGCTAAAGTCAAGTGGAACAAAAATTTGTAGAGGAGGGGAGAATTTAAACAACAGAAAAAACAGGCTGTAGCCTCCATTTCTATCTGGTCATTGCTGTAGTCATTATTGTTAGAATATTGATTTATTAATTTCCTTCCTCCACCAGTGTATATAAGTTTCATGGTGATGGTTAAATTTACCATTTATTTCAAAGGTTGCAGAAAACAAATAAAAACAATTGGGCAGAATTACAATGGACCCAGAACAAGAATGGCTATCATATAGAGATGGAGAATTCTGAGAAAGAAATGTGGCCTTTTGAAATTCTCATTATATTTAAATGCAGTAGTCTTAAGGTTACTTTGGACTGCCTGCCTTTGGGAGAACAAGTGACTACACAGCAAATAATAGCTGCCTTTGGGAAAGGAAGGACTAGGGAGGGTTAAAGAAAGTTCAACAATAAATTTCAAAAAATTTGAATATAGAACTGAATATAAACATATAGCATATTATTCTGAATTTAATTCAGAGTAATGGGCAGATAGTCATGCATTTAACATACTGTTCTTTGTACTTTAAAATGTTTTCACATAAAAAAATATCAAAATTTTACTTTTGAATCTACAGTATTAAAAATAATATTTTATGGGGGGGTTATCACTGTGAGAGGTGTAAATGATTAACTATTACATTGTTTTATACACCTGAAACTAATAAAAAAATATTTTATTAGTAAACCAAATAATATTAGTACTTTAAAAGAGTCCTTTTTCCCTAGGTACCTGTATGTAAAGGTAAAACCATAACTCATGGCCTCCAAATAGATTGATCCATTTGCTGTGAGTAAATGTTTAAAATACACTTCCGCATTTGGCTCTCCCCTCTTGTGCTTCTGACACCACCATGAGAACAACCTATCCTAGGGTACTTATTGTACAATTAGCCTGAGTTTTAGAATAAGGCAAGTGGAGCATAAGAACCAATCCATTTCTGCTTCCTGCGCCAAACTCCAATTGACACACAAGCCAATGAGTGAGAAAAGCAAATGTTTGTTACTATAAAGCACTGAGATTTTTGAGGTTGTTTGCTATATGGTACCACTGTGGCAATAGATAACTGACACATAAAGGTGTTCTTTGTGATATTTACTAAGCTGTACATCTTGGGGTTCAATTTTACTTCACGGTAAAAGTGTATAAGAAGTATAACCATCTTAACATATAAATGTACTTATTTAAGTTAAATTCAATGCAATTTAAATGCTGAACCAAGCAATTGTCTTTATACATTTAGGCATATTCCATATGTATCTACAAATAAACTTTTTGCATAAGTAGAAAAACTTAAAATATATTTGAATAGATATGTACAAACTATTAAATACTTTAAAATTAATAAGCTAAAGTTCCCAACCTCTTTTGGAGGAAGAATGGGAACTTAATTGTTAATTTTCCTGTTACTGGTCTAAAAAAAGAAAATAACTTGCTCTAATTTTGAATATTATACAGTATAAGCACTATTGAAATATCACTGCTACAATAGCATAGCACTCTAAATGCAGATGTTATGGTAGAGATGGCTAGCTATTCACCAAAATCCATTTCTTCTTCATCCTGCAAAACCCAGCTAAACTCTTCCGAGGCAGTAGAATGTAATTTAGACCACTTTCAGACCTAGCCCATAAAAACATTACACATGCGTTTTCCATGTTTTTTGTCCCTTCCAGTTGACTGTGATGGTGAATTCCAAGTAATTGTGGGTTGCATGTTTCAAAGACAACAGTCAGCCTGGGTCCTTGGTCATAGTTTTATGAGCGAGAAATAGACTGGTATTGTGTTTGCACTACTATATATATTTGCATCTATTTACTATAGTATGCAACTTTTACTACAAGACAAAATGCCAATAATTCACCTGCCCACCTAAATGGGACCTTCCATAGTTTTAAGTTTTTATGAAATACTTGCATTCTTATTACAGGTATCATGAGATGAAAATATGCCAACCACAAGCTTCATGAGTTCCACATGTTGTTCACTCCATTAGAAATTAAGGTAAAAACATAATAAATCATATTCTCTTCATACCTATGAAATTAAAAGATGGATACGATCACGTGGATCCTAATGCTTACAATTAAAATTAGGTTTTCTGACTAGAAAGACACAAGTTTCTGAGATAATTACACATAAAAGTTGGTAATATGACCTAAAATGTAAGCACATTCTCTTACCTCCGTCTGTGCCACGAGGAACAGTAATTTGCTGGATTGAAAATGAGGAAGCAAACTTGACAGGAACTTTGTCCAGCTTCTGGGTACTGGGCTCTGGAATTTCATGTTCACAATCTTCAGCATTAATAAAAATCTCAGATGAAAACATGGTTTTTTGTGGACTTTCTGTTGTTATCTGAGTGACTGCATCAGATGAAAATTTTCCAGAGAAGGCCGAAGATGGGGGCTTAATATCCTTTAAGGATCTGAACAAAGAAGAGAAAGGACATAGTAGGTCATATCCTAAGCTTATAAAATACTATAATCTCTTTCCAAAAGTAGTTTCAAAGAATAGTATGTAGAGACACATCAACCTCAAATGGGTAAGTTATTTCTGCAGTACCCTTCACTTTCTTGGATAGTTATTAAAATGTGATCATGTATAAGTTTACTTTTATTTATTTTAAAATCTACTTTTAGTTTCAATTTAGAATGTTATTATGTAATTTACCTGAGAAAAGAGTACTTTTTAGTTCAAGTGAAAATTCATTCATTTTTTAAAAATTATTAGAAGTCCACTATAAATTAGGGGACTGTGCTAAAAGCATAGAGTGTACAAAGATAAACAAGAAACAAAGCCTTCCCTCAAGGAGTTTATATGTGTGGGAAAGAGAGGTTTTCAAGGTTGTAATTATGTATTAAGATTATAAAGAATTCATATTAAAACAGAATGGAGTAAATAAATGATTGAATAAATAAATAATAGGGGAGAGGAGTCAACTCTTACTTACAGAAGAATTCCAAATAATATATGTAGATATCACACTCCCATCCCCACCCAAGGAGATGAAGGTAATCTCTCCCTTTCCCCTTGAGTATGGGCTGAACTTAGTGACTGGATTCCAAAGAATAGAATATAAAAAGGGAGAAACAGTAACTTTACAGTAGAGAAACCTGGCAAACACCATGTTATACAAGTGATAAAGGTTCATATCACCAGTGATGTCATGTGGCCGTCACATACTCTCTGCTATGATGTGATGAGCAGGGTATTTCACTTTTGTGGTATTCTTTGACAAACCCGTAACTCTGGTCTAATCATGAGAAAAGCACCAGTCAAACCCAGGTTGAAGGAAATTCTACTTAGTATCTTACCATTATTCCTTAAGACTGTCATAATCATGGAAAACAAGCTATGAGACCTCCAGAAAGACAAACAAATTGGGTCCTGGAGCAAATTAAGCCTGAAACATCATTGGGAGTGACAAATGATAAAACTTAAGTTGTCCTACGTTGGGCACATCATGAGAAGGCAAGGTTCTTTGGGAAAGACAATGCTGGGAAAAAAAGAAGGCAGCAGGAAAACAGGAGGAACAAATGTGAGATGGATTGACTCCATAAAAGCCATAGGCATGAGTCTACAGGAGCTGAGTGGGGCTGTTGAGGACAGGACATTGTGGATGTCACTTAGTGGATTCGGAACCAACTCAATGGCACATCACACACACACACACAATATACCATACCATATAGCAATTCTAAAAAATTTAAACATAATGAAATTGTAATCTCAATTACCATGATGGAATTAACTAGAAACAAACAATAATTAGAAGAGTTCCCATATAACTGGAAATAAGAAACACTTCTCTACATAGCCCATGAAACAAAAAAGAAATTATAAAAGAAATGAGAAAATATTTTGAAGATGATGAAAAACTACATAAAAAATTGTGTACATTAGAAAAGAAGGCTACAAATTAATTAAAATATATTTAAAAATTAAGTATTCTCAGAAAGGTAGAAAAAGACTATCAGGTTAAAACCTCAAACAGAAAAAATAAAATGAAGATAAAAGCAGAAATTAATGAAATAAAAAACACACACTAGAGGATCAACAAAACCCAAACTGTTAAATCCCTAGCGAGAGTGACCAACAAAAAAAGGGAAAATACAAATCAGCAATATCAGACATCAAAAAGCTTTTATCACTAAAGATTCAGAAAATGAAAGGATAAGAAGACATTATGAAAATAACTCATGCCAAAATTACTCAGCATGAAGAACCAGAAAAATCTCAACTCACATGAGAAAAGACAATCAACTGACATTAATGCTGGAATGAAAGAGATGTTAGGTCTGACAAAAACTTTAAAGAAGTTATAGAATGCTCCAACAACTAAAGGTGCATATCCTTGAAACAAATGCAAAAACAGGACAACAGAGGGGGAAAAAAATTTTAAAAATCAACAGAGCTTCAGGGACCTGTAAGATAATACCAAAAGGTCTAGCATTTGTGTCATCAGAGACAAAGAAGAGAGTGTAGTACAAGATTTATTTATATATATAAATAAATATATATATTTGGTGAAATAAGGGTTGAAAACTCCCCAAATATGATGAAAGATAGCTCAAACAAACCCCAAAGAAATCCATACCTAGAAATATTGTAATCAATCTAAAACAAAACAAAATAAAAATAAAGCGGAGAAAAATAGCACACTGCTTCTTATTTACAAGAGAATAATGTTAAATAAATACACATTTCTCATCAGGTAAGATGCTAACATCTGCTTTACAGATCTTTTTTCTTTTTTCTTTTTTTTACAAATTCAAGTTAAGACCCTCTACTAGGGATAAGATTATGAGTCACTGAAGGCTCAGATGACGGTTAGTATTTTTAGCAATCAAGTTATTTTTTAATTAAGGTATACATATTGTTTTTTAGACAAAATGTTATTGTATACTTCATACACTACAGTATACTATAAACATAATTTTTATATACACTGGGAAATAAAAAAATCTGTATGACACTTTATTGCAGTGGTCTGGAACTGAACTTGCCATGTCTCCAAGGTATGCCTGCATCTTCTTGATGAATTGACCCTTCTATTATTGTATAACAATCTTCTTTGTCTATGTTGTCTACAAAATCTATTTTGTCTGAGATAAGCAGAGCCACCCCTGCTCTCTTGGTTCCCACTGAAGGTAATATCTTTTTCCATTCCCTCACTTTGAGCCGGTGTCCGTTAAGCTGAAGTGAGTCTCTTGTAAGCAGCATATAAATTCAATGGATCTCTACCAAAATTCCAATGAAACAGAAAGAGAAAAACAACCCTAAAATTTGTACGTAGCCACAAAAGATTCCAAATAGCCAAAGCAATCCTGAGAAAAAAAAAAAGAACAAAACTGGAAGCATCACACTTCCCAATTTCAAACTACACTACAAAGCTATAGTAATCAAAATAGCACATAATTAGCATAAAAATAGACACATACACTAATGGAATAGAGAGCCCAGAAATAAACACCTGCACATACCATTAACTAATACTTGACAATGAAGCCAAGAATATACAATAGGGAAAGGATAATCTCTTCAATAAACAATCTGGGAAAATTGGATAATTGCCACAGAAAAATGAAATTGGATTCACATATTACACCACTAGGAATTTAACTCAAAATAGATTAAAGACCTAAAACATAAGACCTGAAACTATAAAACTCATAGAGGAAGCAGGGAAAAAAATTCCTTGACATTGGTCTTGGCAACAATTTTTTGGATGTGACACCAAGAGCACAAGCAACAAAGGCAAAATTCAGTAAATGGAACTGCATCAAACCAAAAATCTTCTGTACAGCGACCTAAACAATCAACAAAATAAAAGGGCAACAACCTACTCAATGGGAGAAAAAATTTGCAAATCATACATCTGAAAGGGGCTTAATATCCAAAATATATATAGAACTCATACCACTGAATAATAAAAAAACAAAATTTCCAATTACCATATTTCCCCATGTATAAGACTCACCTTAATTTTGGGGCCCGAAATTTGAAAAAAAAGTATTACATAAAATTATTGAACTCAAGTTTTATTCATCACAAAATTCATACAACTCCTCATCACTGTCAAAACTCTCAACCATTAGCTTGTCCTCATATGTGTCTGATGATGAATTACTGTCTTCAGATACTCCCTCATCCTCAATTCCATCTATGGCATTTGAAATCTACAACCATTGTATAAGACGCACCCAGTTTTTAGACCTCAAATTTTTCAAAAAAAGGTGCATCTTATACATGGGGATATATGGTAAAAATGGGCAGAGAAACTGAAGAGACATTTTTCAAAAAAGATATACAAATGAAAAAGTGCTTGGCATCACTAATCATCAGAGAAATGCAAATCAAAACCACAATGACATATCATCTCCCACCTGTAAGAATGACTATCATCAAAAAGACAAAAGAGGGCCTGCCGAGTGGCTCGTTGGTTAAGAGTTGGCTTGGGAGCACAAACTCTGAGCAGCAGGGCCACCAGTTTGAATCCCACATGGGCCAGTGATGCTGTGCCCTCTAGAGCTAAGTTGGTGAACAACAGCTCCACCTGGAGGTGGGCTGCCATGTGTCGCTGGTGACGGCGTAAGCTACAGTGGGCTGCCGTAAGCTACCGTGAGTGGCCAGCAGCCAGCGTGAGTGGCTGGTAGCCGTTGTGAGCTGCCGTGAGCAGCCGTCCAATGGCCGGTGACCGATCTGCCTCACCCAGGAAGAGCGCAATGATAATATCAACATGGGCCAGTGAAGCGACGTCCTCCACGACTGAAGAACAAAACGGACAGCAACTCGTCTGTTCCCCTTCCCTGATTCCCCAATGCTGTTCCCTTCCCCAATTCCCCCACCAAAAAAAATCTAAAAAAAAATAAGTGAGCAAATGTAAATTAAAAAAAAAAAAGACAAAAGATAACAAGTGTTGGTGAGAATGTGGAGAAAAGGGAACCCTTGAACACTGTTGGAATGTAAATTGGTGTAGCCACTATGGAAAACAGTGCAGAGGTTCTTCACAAAATTAAAAACAGAACTACCTTATACTCCCTCAATCTCACTTCTGGGTATACAGGAAAGAAAATGAAAACAGGATATCTGCACCCCCATGTTTACTGTAGCATTGTTTACAATAGCCAAGATATGGAAACAACCTAAGTGTGCATCAACGGATAAACGGATAAAGATGTGGCATACACACACACACACACACACACACACACACACACACACACAGGAATATTATTCAGCCACAGGAAATCATGTCATTTGTAACAGCACAGAATGACCTTGAAGGAAGGCAAGTATTATATCATACCACACAATGTGAAATCTAAAACAGCCGTATTTGTGCAAACAGGGAGTAGAATGATTACCAGGGGCTGGATGGTGGGGGAAATGGGAAGATACTGGTCAAAGGGTACAAATTCCCAATTAGAAGGTGAATAAATACTGGGGATCCATGTACAGATTTGCGATGTCAGTTAACAATAACGTAATATACACTTGAATGTTGTTAAGAGAGTAGATCTTAAATGTTTTCACCACAAAGAAGTACTGGTAATTATGTGTTGTAATGGAGGTTTTAGCTAATGCTATGGCAGCAATTACTTTGCAATATGTAAATGTTACCAAGTTAACATGTTGTAAACCTTAAACTTACAGAATATCATGTCAATTATATCTTAATAAAGCTAGGAAAAAAATCCTATTCTTCAGAAAAAGAAACGAGGATTCTTTGGAGAAATGGTTGATTTCAGGGCTGGGGCACAGTATAGGAGCCAATATTAAAGTGTTCTCAATAGGTAAAACTGGAAAAAACTTGAGTAAGGATTGGATTATAATCAGCTCCATTATAACCTATGGGACCACCGTCATAATGCAGTCCATCATTGACCTAAATGTGGCTATGTGGTACATGACTATACATACACACAGATGAGTATGTATGTGTATACACAGTTTGAATTATTATAGACTCTGGAGTCAGACAAACCTAGGTTCAAATGCTACCTCCAACACTCAATGGCCATGTGATATTGGGCAAAACATTTAATTTCTCTAAGTATTAGGTTTTTTAAATCTATAAATTGAGGCAATTCCATCTATCTCTGATTATACTGAGTATAAAATTATATAAGCAACCACTACAATACCTGGCATTTAGTATATTCTGAATAAATGGCATTATTAGTTCATATTTATAATCATCTATAATTTTCTTCTTATTCAAGGAACTCAGCTCCAATAACTAGGCATTTTATGACTTTGATGAATTTAAGTATTGTATATAAACTTGTCAATCTTTTAATTTCTAAACATTTTTCAAAAAAAATTATTAGTACCAATCTCTACAGCACCCTGTTTATAATACTGAAGCCAGAGACTGACCCTGTTTGTTTGTTTTGTCCCAATTCAATTCTCAAGTTGCTAACTTTTAGAACCATAAGGAATCTTTCAGGTTTCCACCCCTTCAACTTCCCCCATCATCCATATGAGTGCCAAAGGTATTAAATGACTTGTCCAAGAAGACAGCTGGTAGAAGAGCTGGAAGTCAAGTTCAAGATTCGGAGAGACAGTCTCATGTGGTGAACAAACGCTTGCTTTGATTAAACATACTATATTTGAATACCCAATCTGCTGCTTACAAACAGCAATATTTAAGACACGACAAAGTAGCAATGTCATGTCTCTATTTCACAGAGGGTAAATAAAGATACCACCATCTACCTCACAGGGTTTATCATGAGTATTAAATGAGATAACATATAGAAGTCCCTCATTGCCAAGGCTATCACATGTGGATGTTGAAAAAAAACATTTTTTCCCTTCCTCCTTTCCAACCCCAGTGCTCTCCACTATGACATGATGCCTTCTCAACTGTAAGATGGAAATATTAAACACACAGGGTAGTTCTGTTTAGCCATAATAGAATGTTACATGAGTTTCTCGTAAAGGACTCATTAATGTAAAACTGAATGAATGACAGTCTTAAAATTAGGTTGAATAATATAATTCTAACGCATTTATCCCTGACCTGGGTTTCCTTTCCTACAACACGCTGTGAAGTAGAGCATTACATTCAGGGAGCACATTATGTTGATATGCATCCCTGGCGATATTAACCTTGACGGCTTGGCTAAAATGATGTCTACCAGAATTCTCTACTGGAAAGTTACTTCTTTTTTTTTTTTTCATTGTAAATACTAAATATTTGAGAGGAATCAAGAAATAGAAACAAAGAGAGGGAGAGAAAGAGAGCAAGCATGGGTGTGCGTCCCCTCCCAAGGCCTTGTCTTCAGCATATCTCCAACACAATAAACAAGGAATGAGTAAATTGTACCACTGGATGATCAAAGATTCCTCTCTAAGTAATGCAATTTAAAATACTTGATGCCAAGTCTTGTTAAAAGCCCTTTGAAAGTATACATACATTACTTTCAGATATTCTCTTACTTTGGTATTTATCCCTTGAAAGACTTCTAGCAGACTAGTCAGATATAGTCTCCCATAAGAGAATCATACTGCCTCCTACCCAAGAACTTATATTTGCTTAAGTTATTTAAAACCCTTTATCACAAATTTCATCAGCTTGCTTGTCATCACAATGAGACTCACCGATCTGCAGATACTGGAGTCCCTTCTGGATTGGGATATCCTTCCAAATCTGAAAAGTTCACTTGTGTTTGCCTTGAGGTTACTATCTGGCTATTCTGAGAAGGTATGGTTTTCAAGTCCTGAGTAATAGTATTACCATCTGGAAGAGGAGACTGTACAACTTGAAAGTCCGATGAAGATTTAGGTCCTAGAAAACCTAAAGACTCTTGATCCTGTGCTACAGGTTTAGTGGTCAGTAATTTGGTGGTTGGTCTCAATGATCTTGAAGATATAGTTTGTAGATCAGAGTTAAACTCACTATTCATTCTTTTTTTAGAAGCAGGATCCAATGAAACAAATCTTTTATCTAAGGTTCCACTATCCAACTTGGATGGAGTATTGGGAGAAAGAGTTATATGGACAAAAGAAAGTGCTTTTTTATTTGAAGGTGGAGTAGGTATTGATAAAGATGTTGCTAATGTAGGTGAAGATGTTGCTAATGTAGGCAAAGATGTTGCTAATGTACACGAAGATGTTGCTAATGTAGGTGAAGATGTTGTTAATGTAGGTGAAGATGTTGCTAATGTAGGTGAAGAAGTTGCTAATGTAGGTGAAGAAGTTGCTAATGTAGGTGAAGATGTTGCTAATGTAGGTGAAGATGTTGCTAATGGACTTTGATTTGGGGCTGATTGGGAGACCACCTTATTTAACTTGGCTTCAACATCTATCATATTAGAAATGTGTGATTTAGGCTTATGTTGATCATTGTTTTCTACTACAGAATCCTGACCTTGAGGAAGAGGGGAAGATTGTTTTCTCATGTTGTGATCTACATCCGGGGCTTTGCTTTGTTCAAAGAGCTGACGTTGCTCAAGAAAAATGGGAGGAGGAAGGTCTGGAGCTATATAATCCTGACCTTGAGGAAGGGAGGAGTGGTTTTCTCTCATCTGGTGATCTACATCTGGGGCTTTGCTTAGTTCCAAGAGTTCTCGTTTTTCAAGAAAAATGAAACAAGGAAGGTTTGAAGCTACAAAATCCTGATGTTGAGGAGGGGGAGACTGGTGTTTTCTCACATGGTGATCTGCATGTGGGACTTTGCTTTGTTCAAAGAGCTCTTGTTGTTCAAGAAATATGCGCGAAGGAAGATTTGGTGTTATAGTTACATTCTTCTCTTTTACTCCTAATGTGGAACTTGGTCTGTCTATATTAATGAAGGTATGGTTATCAGCAAAATGAACTTCCTTAACTTTTCCAGAATTTGTACTGGTACTGGGCACAGAATGACTGCCTTTAAAATCTGGTCTTTCTAAGAGTTTTTCTTCTTGGTGAGAACATTCAACAGAAAATTTACCTTTTCTACTGCTTTCTGCTAAAATCGTCACAGCTTTATCTGGTGAATGACTAATGATTTTCAATGATGGAGGGGAAGAGGTTTTCTGTTTTAGATCTCTAGGAGGATTTTGCTCTTCAGTGAAATGAGAATTAAATATTCCTACAGATGCTCCACTACACTGGCTACCTTCAGTAACACCAACCTTAACAACAGAGGAATCTGAAAAACATTTAGAATGTTGGTGAGATGAAAAAGTGATGGAGGTAGTAAACTTTTTCATGGATTCTGGGGGCAGCATTTGTGATGAAGAATGACAATCCATTTCTTCAGGTCGCACACAAGTGGGTTCTACTAATTCTGACAGCCAAGGGTCCATCTTTTCATGGAATGGCATTTGAAAGCCCTTGCTAATTTTGAAGTCATCAGCCAACAAGTTTTGAAATGGGGAATGACTTTGTAACTGCAAGGAATTCCAAGCTTCAAAATGGGGGTTGCTCTGGTCTAGTGATTTGGAAAGGTTGATGTGCCTGGTTCTCCATGATGATGGGCTCCGTTGTCCTTTGAGCATTTCTAAGGGTTCAGCAGATCTGAACACACAGGGATGGCTGTCCAACTGTGGTTGTTCAGCAGTTAGAGTCCTAAAACATCCTTTTTCATGGCTCTCAATAATAATGTGACTACATACAGTTTCCGGGTTGCATCCTATTCCCCGTGGACTCTGTAAACCCTAGAAAATAAAAACAAGTTCTTACTTGAAGTAGTCCAAATAGTTATATAAAAATTAATTTCGTGATCTTTTATAATAAAACAGTTAAGAACAAAATAAGAATAAGAGGGTTAACTACAGAATAAAATGGCTCATGATAACTAAAACTGTGCAGTTAATTTCTTCTAAAAATTTTTCACTGAAGTAACTAATGAAAGCAAACTACTGTTGTCCCGCAGTAATCTCACCTTTTTTCTTTTAGTAACAGAGGTCTCCTACCCCAACATTTGCTCGTCACATGGCACCAAGCTGGAGATATTTCCAGTTTCTTTTGCAGCTAGGTGTGACCATATGACTAGGCTTCGGCCAACAGGATATGAGCAAAAGCAGTAAGTACAACTGCTGCTTCCTGTCCTTAAAAAATCAAGTTCTTGGCCTCCATGTTCCCCTACTACCACCATCACTATCACTGTTATTATTACCAGCTGAAAATAATGATGTCTAGAACATCCCTAGAAGCCATGTAAAAGGATGGCTCAGCTGCCCACCCAGCTTGTGCCCTTGGGTGACCTCAAGGAGCTTACTCCTGTTCCCACCTTGGACTGTCACATGAAAGAAAACATTCTACTTTACGTGAGACATTGTTTTTTGGGGTCTCTCTGTTATAGAAGTTTAGCCTACACCCTAATATTTTACCATTAAGAATAGGAAAAAGAACTATTGGGTTGTTGGAAATGTCATGATGCATTTTTGCAATGGAAAACATAGAAAAAGTACGTCATGACTTTTCCAACAACCCAATAGTACCTCTTTCCTGGGGTATAAGGTCAGTGCCTAAAATTGCCATAAATACAAAATTTCTCTGAGATTTCCATGTTGTCCTATAAAGTTGTAACTTGGCACTCTATTTGATGATATAGCCACGTCTGATTTCATATAAAAATATTTTAAAATATGCTGCCACTTCCCACATAATGGAGTAGATATGTTTTTCCCTATTCCACCTGCTAAGTCCAACTAGAAATCCTGGACTTTACACATAAAACAAATTTAAGAAGAATCTGAAAGAGGTAGAGAAGAAGGCAAACTGGGTAGGGACCTTGGAACCTGAGCAATGGCATAGTAGTGAGAGCCCTGGTTTTTCTTTTTACCTCATGTATCCCAGATCTGGATCTGAAGAAGCCAGCAACCCAGGAAGAAGGAGAACAGACAAAAGCTCTAACAAAAACCTGCTCTCATCGGCTAAAAAGATCAGTAAAAGTGAAGTCGGCCAAGACAATAAACTTTTAGACAAAAACTGCTCTATTTCAGCCAAACACCTGGGGTGGGGGATGGAGGCTGGGGGTGGGGGTGGGGAGTGGCCTCACCCACACTCCTACCAGCAAAGGCTAAGTGAGGTGCATATACTTCTACCCTTGCAAAACTATAATGAGGCACCCCAACAGCCAGGTCAAGGTGGTATCAGAGATGGCCAAGTAGGAGCTTATGACTTATCTTCACCTCTACTGACAATAATGAGCCACCTCTCCCTGTGGTGTCAGTGGGAACCACATTGGTGGAGACTGGACTATCATTCCCACTCAGCAGTAATGAGGTGCCCCTCTCTCCCCCAGCTAATGTCATATCCAATAAAAGACTTATATTTAACATATAGAAATACCGTATTTGCCGGCGTATAAGACAGCTGGGCGTATAAGACGACCCCCTAACATTTCCACTCAAAATACAGAGTTTGTTATATACTCGCCGTATAAGACTACCCCCTCTTCCGCACACCTTCCACACACCAAATAAAAGGTAAAACAATATCAGATTTGATTTGGCCCACTGAAGTGCAAACAAGCGTATTGTATTTCGTGTCACCACATAACCGTTTTGGCGATGTTGAGCCACCATGTCTGCTACATGTTTTTCGAGTTCTGGCCAGTGTGGGGTGCCTCTTCTTAATGCACACTTACCCCTTGGCATACTCTTTAATGCTTTCTCATTTGATTTCCAGTCCCGAACCATCTTTTCTGTTACTCCATATTGTCTTGCAGCAGCACAATTATTATTTTCCTTAGCAAAGTTTATAACTTTCAGTTTAAAATTTGCATCATACTTCTTTCTTTTGGCTGGTGCCATGATAGGGATGATAGGGGTTTGACTGGTCGACATTTTCTATGCTGTACTGTACAATGGTGCAGTATTGTGGTTGGCTGTTGGCTGTATACAAAGCCTGATTTGATTGGTCCCTGCTCCCTGTTTGCCCGCCCTGTCACTATAGCAGTCTGGTCCACCCTTGCATCAGCATCTCCCTGGGACTTCACTAGTGCACAAGTGCGAGCTCTTCAACATTCTAACAGGCACCATGATAGCGCAAAATCGCGAATCTTCAATGCATATGTAAAGAAATATACGGTAACCCGAATTTACCACACTCGCAAAATCGCACACAGCCGAGCCTACACCCAGCAGCGCTGCTGATGCCTGAACGGTATGTAGAATGAAGTGGGCGGGCATCGGGAGGCCACTATGGCACGGGGCAAGCACTATGGGCAGTCTATCTGAAGTGTACCTGGCGTATAAGACGACCCCCCACTTGGAGGCATATTTTTCAGGGCCAAAAAATCGTCTTATACGCCGGCAAATACGGTAACTCTCAAAACTCAACAGTTAAATCACAATCCAATCAGTAAAATGGGTAAAAAAAACCATATACATTTCACTGAAGAGGATAGAGTGGAGAAATAAGGGCATAAAAAGATGTTCAATACTATTAATCATTAAGGAAATGCAAATTAAACCCACAATGGAATATCACTACACACCTATCAGAATGGCTAAAATAAAAAACAGTGACAGCACCAAATGCTGATGAGGCTGTGGAGTAATAGGATCACTCACACATTACTGGTGGGAATGTAAAATGATCCAACCACCCTAGAAAATGGTGTGGCCGTTTCTCAAAAAACTAAACATACCACTACTATATGACAGTAATAGTATTTTAGGCATTTATCCCACAGAAACAAAGGCTTATGTTCACCAAAAACCTGCACATGATATTTACTGAAGCTTTATTTGTAATATCCCAAAACGGAAAACCACCAAGATGTCACTCAATAGGTGAATATTTAAACTGGTAGATCCATACCATGGAACACTACACAGCATTAAGAAAAAGAAACAGACTACTGATACACACCAAAACTTGGGGTATTCTCCAGAAATTATGCCGAGTGAAAAAAGCCAATACCCAAAGGTTATAATACTGTATGATTTTGTTTATATGACATTCTTAAAATGGCAGAATTATAGAAACAGATCAGATTCATGATTGTCAGGGGTTCAGAAGGGGTTGGGGCAGAAAAGAAGTGGATGTAGCTATTACAGGGCAACATCAGGGACACTTGTACTGATGTAAATGTAAACTATCTGGACTGTACCAGTACCAATATCCTGGTTGTGATATATTATTACAGATTTGCAAGATGATTGTTACCATTGGTAGAAACTGGGTAAAGGGTAAAAGTGATTTTTCTATATGATTTCTTACTACTGCATGTGAATCTACAGTTATTTCCAAATAAAATGTTGAATTTTTAAAAGAGAAAATCAATTAATTAAACACTACTGAACAAAACTAACACTTTAAAACTGCCATTTTTGTTCCACGGTGTCTTATAACTTTGACATGGCCTGACATATACTGGGAAATAAATACTGCAATTTTAGAAGCAATCTGACCATTTCCAACCCAGAGGAGGCACTCTTGGGGCCAGAGACTAAGGAGTTGTTCTTAAACGGCACCTTCCCCACCAAAACTATAAGACCATGCTGTTACAGCTCATAGAAATCAGATACAGAACAACATGCATTAGACCACATTTATGCTGTAGCTACCACATGAAAAGAAATTGCCCTAAAGCCCAAATCTTGTCTGGCAAATGGGCCCCATTGCCCCCTGAACCAGGAACTCAGTGGAGGAGCCCTAGAGGATATGGGGGCTTCCTTAGCATTCTCCAGAGAGGGCTGGTGCCTCAACCCAGCTCCCTCTCTCAAGAAAGGACCAATAGGTTTCTCTATATTAGCAGGTCCTTAGATCAGCAGTCCCTAATGACAGTCTCAGGTCAGCCTGAACACAAGTTAGAAACCTTTGCTCAGGCACTGCAGGCTCTTCAAGAGACCACTGACCCTGCTCTGAGAGCAAATGTCATCACCTCCCAGAACACCCCAGCCCCAGAAGCGGTATCCAAGATCCAAAACCCTGACTTCTGAGAGTGATAGCCACCAAGGCCCCTGTCCTAGAGACCTATCAGTTCCCCATATCTTGTCCCTTCTCCAGGAGACAATCACTCATATACTTCTTTAATTATCTAGTGGGATGCACATAACAAAACCACCTTTTATGGCTCTCACTGACACTGGAGCCTAAGTTACAGTGCTTCCCAGAAACTCCTCCAAACACAAGTGAGGAGTACCCTTCAAATTACAAGGCTAACAAGTAGGATAGTAGAAAGTGTTCAACTTCTACTGGATGTCACTATTGGAACAATTTTTTTTTTTTAAGATTTTATTGGGGAATTGGGAGAAGGGAACAGCATTGGGTAATCGGGGAAGGGGAACAGACAAGTTGTTGTCCTTTCGTTCTTCAGTCTAGTTGTGGAGGACGTTGCGTCACTGCTCCATGTTGGTATTGTAATCATTGCGCTCTTCCCAGGTGAGGCAGATAGGTCACCGGCTTCCAGACGGCCGCTCACAGCGGCTCTTGGCAGCTCACGCTGGCTGCCGGCCACTCACGGTAGCCCATGGCAACCCGCTGCTGCCAGCAACTCCCAGCAGCCCAGCTCCAGGTCGAGCTGTTATTCACCATCTTAGCTGCAGAGGGCAGTGTCACTGGCCCTCATGTGGGACCCAAACCGGGGCCCTGATGCTTAACCAACGTGCCACTCGGCCGGCCCCTGGAACAATTTTTATTAAAAATCTTTTAGTGGTGGTGGCCCCTTCAGCCCTCCCCTTTCTTATTATAGGTGTGAATG